GCATTGATTCACGGATCTCTTTCCGAATTGGTTGTCATTGTTGGTCGAATGTACTATTCACGCAATAATTTCAGGTGCAATTTGGTCATTTCAGAATATTAAATAGTCCAGGAGATTATCGGAATCCTTTCCAGTCTTCCACTTTGAAAAATTTTCCTCCCACCCGATTTCCTACCATCCCTCTTCTTTTTTTAAACATCAGATTTGATCATGCTACTGTATTTATATTTTCTGCAAGATCTCGGTCCCTCAAAAATTCATCCGAATCTCCTTCATTTAATGTCCTTGATTCGTCAAAGATTTGCATATGCAGTAGTCCTGAATGTTCAGATGTTAAAATTCAAAATTTTAATTGCATTGTGTAATACTGTAGTAAAACTGGCATGTGTAAAATGCTTAAATTCTTCGATTGAGATAGTTGAGAAATGTGTGTACGAATTCTTGTCGCTTTATTCTGAACTTCGCGTAAATCAAGAATTCCTCTCATAAGTTGCAATGATTGGCTTAATTTACTTGACGATGTTAGGAAAGCGGGAATACAATGCTATACAATATTTCAGTTACGAAATTTGTTTGAAAGAGAAAATGTTAATTTGCTGATCGTTTTTCTTTCTCTCGCTTACCTGCATTGAGTCATTTGGGTTAGCGCAGTTTCGTAGCAATTGACGGCACAGAAGTGATGTTCCGGCTGCGGGATTTCTTCGCATGGCTTTTTTGGGGTGTTCTTCGCTTTGAACTTCGGGATAAAAAATTTCAGAAATTGTAGATGAGTGACATGCATGTGTTATTTTCGAATTTTTTTTCAAGCATCATCTTGGCGTGAAATTTTTCTTGACAAAACAGTTGTTCACTTCAAAGCAGACACCTCTTGTTAAACGAATGTAAAAGTGTTCGTTGATGCGTAGACATTTTTAAGCAGTGATGGATATGTAATTTCCAATTTAAAGTGATTATTTTTTGCGGGCATTTTTCTCTTTTAAGAGGATTAGAATCCATTTTTCAAATTGGGTCTAGAAATGTTCAATTGTATGATGTTCGTCCATTTTGGACAACATCCGTTTAGAAAATTTCGACGATGCTTTTGAGGGAGGTGCTTTTTTTTAGCAAAACTTTATTACTGCTTGAGTTCATTATTTTTGTTACTTTTCATCCTCTCCATGCGTATAATCTATCTATACATACATTAATCATCAGTTTTTTGTCTGAGTTACGTTCTTCGGAAAAAGTTCGATTCCTTGCCCGGGTCTGCTTGAGTATTTACCGATTCACTCAGATGTGATCCAATGACTATGTATGATCCATGAAAGAGTTCAATTCAAATTCTCACGGGAGTACTGCTTGTACAGTGTGACGAAATTCCTGGAAGTTTTTTAGGATTGACTTCACTGTCGTGTACGAAAGTATCTTCAGAATTGTTTCCAATTTAGTTGTACTGCATAACTATCTTATCTGTGGGCTGTTTGCGCTCAACCAGAATATTTTATTCCATACGCATTGAAATTTAAAATACTGTATTTTACATATCCGAATTTACAGTCTTTTCTGGATACTGCTGCGTCCCAAGTGAACAATTGAGCTTAAATTGACGCTGTACTTTAAAAATCGTAATTAAGAGTGATTTGAAATTGCCTGTGAACAGCAGCTTCCAGAAATCAGTATTTTTTTGATAATCTAAGTTGCATTTTTTAGCACTGAACCTGCCATGCTTGAATGAATTACGGAAAGCATCTTGATTTATAATGCGAGCAGTAATCGTTTCAAGAACGAAATGAAAATTGGTTTATTACGAATAATTTAATGCAACTTCCGCGCGTTCGAGTTATTTTGTATCAATTTTTCTGTTGGCATAATTCAACAGCGTTTGTTCGTTTTAACTGACTAACTAAAACACTGAAGCGCAAGAAAAAAACACAGTAATTTTTATTATCTCACTTATATTTTTTTCTTAGGTAATGATGGTTTCATGGATGTTGCAGCGTTTATTCAATGTAATCGAGAAAAATTCCTCCGTAAATGGATTCGTAATGATTCATTGGAAGAACTTAGATCCTTGATCTAAGTCGTATGTAAAGTTTTCTTTTGTTTCAAATGAGAATTTATTTTTGCTCAAAAGAATTCCAAATGGAAACTTACGGTTCGAAGCGTGGCGGCGATATCCTTCTCCATGAGCTTCCCCTCGACGTAGTAGCCATGAGTGAAGGCTGCCGTCTGCGGCGGCTGGTTGCCGCCGTGGAGCAGCACGCTCCATCCGAACGGCGCCGCCGCGTGGCTCGCGTGGTGTGTACTCGAATTGAACCGCAAGTACAGTCCGTGGTACATGCCGCCGAGTGTGACGCGATCCGGCTTGTAAGTCATGCATTTTCCATTGATGGTCATGGTCTGATGGAAGGTGCCGCGAGTGTCGCATTCCAGGCCTCTGCCCAAGTAGCACTTGACGATGGATGAAAAATTGAATGAAGAAGAAAATGAAGTTTCGTTGTTTTCGTTTGAATGGAAAGCACTTATACAGAAAAAATCGTTTGAAATTACAATCTAACATCGTCAAGTTAAACTATAGGAGGGGACTAGCAAAATATTCGAATTATGGAGGTTTCGAGTTAGAGAAAAAAAAGTTGGGGGGGAGGGGGGGAAATTAACAGCAAATAGTATTTTTGAATATTTTGAGCCTTAAATTGCTTCTCATATTAGTTACAGGATGCTGATTTTGGATGCAATGGTTCATTTGTCCAAAAAGTCTTCAGTTCCTTTTTTAATGCTTTTATATTTCCTGTGTTGACGAAATGATGGTCAATAGGCATCTACATAATTATGATTATGAATTTTTGAGGGGAAAGGCTCCGAGGTTGGAGGGTTTTAAATTAGTGCTTTGCTTCTGAATTCAGAAAGGGACTTATTATAAAAATTTGACGTAGGTAGGTTCGAGTTTTCGAGGTCCAAGCGCCCAACTGTACAGTATTTGGGGTTTTGGTTTTGAATTTTGTCAAGTCTTTCACTTCGAGTGTTGGTCTTCTGGGATTTAACGAAGTAATGTTAAATGACCAGTGTTGAGATTTTTGTTTCCTAGATTGAAATAATGCGACGAAAAAAAATTCTTTCGCATGATTTTGTTCACTTCGATGAAATTGGATTTTCCGGTCGCACTTGTGAAATTCTCAAGTACTGTGTGTGTGCATTTTGGTTTTGAATAAGTTAACTCAAATTAATCATTATTGAGGACAATTGGTTACAGTCGGGGGAAATTGTGAACTTCGAAACAAATGCTTACAATTTGATAGACGGTAATTTGAATTTTAAATGTGAAAAATGAAGCTTTTGGGTATTATTTTTTTCAATTTATCACCGATTCGAAAATCCTGTTTTCTTCAACGTAAGAAGTCTCATTCCAAAGCTTCGTGGGTCCGATGACAGCAGCGAGCAACGCAGCAGCCGCGAGGAACTGCTGCTTCTCCTTTTTTTTCAATTTATCACCGATTCGAAAATCCTGTTTTCTTCAACGTAAGAAGTCTCATTCCAAAGCTTCGTGGGTCCGATGACAGCAGCGAGCAACGCAGCAGCCGCGAGGAACTGCTGCTTCTCCTTCACCCACGTTTTCTTCTGTTCGTCAGTCATATCGCAGTCGAACTTTTCAAAATTGTCTCCCCATCTCGTGATGCCGAACAGGGATTTTTCAGTTCCTGTGTAACCTATTTCCTGGAGAATGGTTCTGTTACCGGATGGGAACTGTCTGCCAGGAAAGACCTTGGCCCAAAGTGATCTTATTTTGGTCGGACTCAGCTGGTGTCGATCACACCTGGAAGCAAAGAATGTAAACAAATTAAGTTTAAAAAAAAGATTGTGCGGTTTCTGTGCGGATTGAAGCGCAGTAAATCGAACTTTGAATCGAGCTATTCATGTTAAGCGAAGCGAGAATTTCGATTTATCTTCCATATTTGAAAATAAATTTCCACCCTACTGAGCTATTACTGTTCCTTGAATGTCAGGGATATCATTAAAAAACTCATCGCTCTTGCACTTTTTCTGTTGTACTGTATCCATGAGTGGTTTTTGAGTGATTTCTCAACATTTCTTTCGAAGTTCTGGTGCTACGAATGAGCCACCCACGTATTTTATCGAGATGCTCAAAAAAATTCGATATAGGTTGTCCAAAGATTGGGGCAAAAGATTTTTTGTAAAACGACCGCATCAAGTTCGGATTTATTTTCTTCGAACTTCGTGCAAATCCCTGAATATTCTTATAAATATTTGGACTTCGGAGAGAGGTTTACGAATTTTGCAACCCAGGGTTTTCTCCATTTTCTGTATTCTTAATTGTCTTTGTTCAAGGATATGGCAATAAGTGCCAAATTGTTACCAAAATAATTGTTTAAACATAGGTTTGGCGTGATGAAACGGCGCGTGGAATTTATTTTTGTAACTCACGAGACGAAAGGGCAAACCGTGATGTATGGGAATGGCAGGGATTCGTTTCGCATGATGCGGACTCGTACTGTGATCGGTTTGTCTTCAAAGTTCTGGATACGATCCAGAACTTGAAGGAATGTGAGCGCCGTGCAGACAATCAGCACTACTGTCCAGGTGATTCTTCTGCAAATAAGGAAAAAACCGTAGACATTTTGAAAGTACAATGCCAAATATTATCTGCAAAAAAACTGAGCATGCAAACTCAGACGCTCAGGATAATGTCAAAGATGTGTGCTGTCTTGAATTGCAAAGGTGAAACAAAAATGCCGTATCTTTGAAATGTTTGCAAAAAAGAAATGGAAATGAAGTTTTTCTTCGTCAGTATGCATGTGGGCTGTTACTCCAAAACAAGATGATCTGTCCGAGTGAGAAATTCTTGATTGAAAGTTTACAGACCTGATGCAATTGATATTCTAATTTTAATTACAATATAATGCGCTTTTTTCTTGAAGAATGCTCTTTTTTTGGTCCCCCCCCCCACTCTTTTTTCCTTGAAATGACTACTTGATCGTCGTATGACCTTATTTGTTCGATATACAGTACTAAATTTTTTTCTAAAATACGAAGTGGAGGATGCATGCATTTTGCGTACCGAAACCAATGAAGTCGAGAGTTGAAAACTATCCGTAGTCCGGTGATGCTGACGTCCGATGCTAAAACTTCTGCTCCGCTGAAAAACCCTTTCTCTACTTCCCGCTGTTTCTGTTCAGGCCTTTGTTGGTTGCCTAAGGTAGAATAGTCAAAATGTCAACTTTTTTTTGGAATGGATTTGGAAACGCATACTTATTGGAATAGCCGGGTTTGCTTTTGTGGCCCATGCATTTTTAGGTTCGTCCATTGCGATGCGTGTTTTTAATCGTGGAATTTAATCTTCATTTTTCATAGATTCATTCAACCTGACGTGGTGTTAATAGGTAGTCTTGTTACTCAAATTTCACCCATTTGTAATTTCCTTATGGAGGTGACATTTTGTATGTGTTGCATCAACCACCACAGTTGAACGTGTGCCGATTTGATGCCAGTCGATCATTAATTTTTTGTTTGAAATAATTTTAATAATACTGTATTCACATTTTCACCCACTTGAATTAGTAAAACAATGTATGTTCAAGTGTTCACGTTTTGATGCATCACAGCAAAAGCTATTTGATATTTGAAAGAGAAAAACTCGACGAATGTTTTATAATTTCCTATGTTTGAAACCTTTTTTTCTAAAAAAAAAATGTTTGCTTCCTGTTCGGTCAAAGAACTGAATAGCTTCAAAGTGGATTATCTCACTGTGAAGGGAGATTTAAATCAAAATCAGGTTTTTAAAGCTCAAGTGAGATTGAAATGACTGAAGCGTTGTGTTTTCAACCCGATGGTCAAAGCTGACTCTAGGGACTGTTCGACTGACCGTGTAAGCAATTTATCTCGTCGCCCACGGTAATCTTTTTTTTAAATTATGGTTGACCTTAATTATATTCACTCCGCACAAAAAAAGTCGACTGACCATGTATAAATTATGCCTTTTAATGAAGGGAATAGTGTAATTAATGACGTCTTTGTGAAGCTCCGTAATTGCTTTGATCGATAAATAATTTTTGAAGGTATCTCTCGGTTCGTAGCCTATTGTTGAGTTAATTGCAGCTGCGAACACGTGTCCTCATCCTCACGAGGCGCTAATGATTCACCTCGTTTGTTTATCAGAATGAGACAGATTCCCGAAAAAATGTTGGCGAAAACGTATTATTTATTGGGTTGAATTTTTTATGCCATTTTTGCGTGGTTGGGTTGTATCACGTTGCCTCTGGGATGAAACCCGATTCTACGCAGTACGTCGACACTGTCAACGTTTCAGTCACGCGCTTGAGGAGAATTTAACGAACATTGAAGCTAGAGTTCAAATACAATCGTTGAAATGACGGCAAAAATAAGTTTTTTTGATATCTGTATTCCTGGATTGAGGGTGATTCGGCGCCCCGAAACATCTCTCCTAAGGTGAAACCGAATTAATTCAATATCTTTGAAAATGCTGGATTGAAGACCATGTTGTTCCTATGGAAATTTCAAGCTTTTTTTTCTTGCTGCCATGGGCTAACCGAGATTATAAAATTATTCAACTGTTTTTTAGGCGAACCTGGTGGGCTGTTACACTTCTGGGGAGCGTTGGTCTCACCACTTGGTATTGGGTCGACAGGACTTTCTACTTTTTTTCGAATCCATTGCAAACTTCAATCACAGTCGTGGAATCCAGAGGATTAGTTCTACCCGATGTGACGGTCTGTACCAGGTGAGCATAGAAATCTTCAATAGAGTTGTAGTTACTGTACTTTCGAAATTATATTTAGCAACACAAAAATTACTATCCATTAAGAAATGAATTCAAAATCTTGATTCATAGCAGTGTGGCATTATTTTAGTCTTGAGTAGATGTAACAAGCAGTTGCAGTAGCATTTTATTCTTGGGTTCTGTGTGAAATGTATTCAATGACCAGTCGTTTTTGTTCCACGTTTTCTCAACGCACATTTTTTAGGTTATACTTTGTCTATGCTGATCTCCGCCAATTTGGACGATCTTTTTATTCGTTTCTTGACTTTCATCAAAGTATTTTGACGACCATCGAAATAGTGTTGAGTGTTCGATGTGTGTGTTGATTTTTTCGATAATTATTCTGAAGGCACCGATTCAATATGACTAAAGTCAGGAATTTGTGGAGGCGGATATCTGGGCATGATGATGTTCCGCCTACAGCGGATTTAGACCTTCTGGATTACGTAAATCCTGATCAATTTTGGGAACTGGTTGCCTACACTCTTGAAGAACTGGTGGTTGAAGTGAGTTTCAAGCTTCTGAATGCTTTTAGAATTTGGGACTAATAATTGTTTTTATGTTTCAAGTGTAAGTACATGCAGTATTTGGATTGTCTTCATCCTAAGTTTTGGACCCCTGTTATGACCGCACATGGGAAATGTTTCACGTTGATGGGTGAGCTAACTTTTTTTTTCCAATCTAAATGTTTTCATTGACGAATCATCAAGAAATTCTAGTGCAAGGTTTATTTCTTCAGGGTTGCAAAGCTGGATTTCGGGAGAGAAGTTCGGTGTAAAATTGAGACTTAATGCTACTCCGGATTTGATAGCGAACAGAGTAGGATACATGTCCATCAGATCTGGCTGGGTGGTGAGTGGTTTATTTTCATTTAAATGGTTATTCAAAAGTGAAGCTTCGTCGATGAAATGACTGTTGTTCTATATTTCTGGATAATGCAGGAATATTTTTTATCTTGGATCGAATTCAGGTCTCGGTACACCCGAAGGGAGTTCCGCCCGATATTCTTCTTCTAGAGAAAAGTGTAGTGAACGTTCCAAGTCTTTTCACGGAGTCAAACGGAAGCCGTTATGATATTGCGTTGCATTCAAGAATTTCCATCAAGGTGTGTTGATGAATATTAATTTTTTTTATTTCTCTCTTCGATCCGTCGGTCCTTCGATTCTCAGGTTTCCCACTTTGAAAACATTCCGGTGGGTCAAACCCCATGCGTTTCTGACCCTGAATACAATTACGAAAATTGTAAGGTGCATTGCCTGAATCAGTTCGTGGTGAATAATTGCGGTTGTAGGTTAGTGAAAAAATATTTTCACGTTTTTTATTCTCCAGTTTATTCGTTTGTGTATTTTCATTCATTCACTTTTTGTTCGGAAAATTTATTTTATTTTATTTGTCATTGTGCAGATTTTCTCACATACTCGTTGCAAATAATGCGTTTGAGTTTTTGTTCTCCTAGAACCTAGAAATTGGCTTTGTTCGATGTGTTTCCCCTCTTTTTGTGATTGGTGAATTGTATTTTAATTTAGAATGAGCTTCATGCGGAATGTTGAAGCTCCACCCTGTCTCACAAGAGAGGAAGTTGTGAATGTTACGAATTACCTCGACGGGGTTTACTTCAACGGAACATGGAACATGTCAATGTGCGACTGTCCTCAACAATGTGTTGAAGTAAGAAGTATTTATTTCATTTCCTTGTTGACCTTATTTCTTCATTTTCATATTCAACTTGCAGACGGTTTACAAAGTTTCAGTGGACTCGACAAAAATGAAACCGGTGCCTGAAGGAAAAGGCAATGGTTACTTTCTGGTGAGATTTTCTGCGAAGAAGTATCTTTCAACCTGCATTGACTAATTATATCTCCTGCGTTTTCCCCCCACATGAAAAGATTTTCTACGAGGAATTAACTCCGACGATTACTTTCGTGACCGAGGAATTCGCGTATCAGTTCGCGAAATGGTTCAGCGAAGTTGGCGGAGTTTCAAATTTGCTGCTTGGAATTTCTGTCTTGACACTTGCGGAATTGCTGGATGTGATTCTGATTAGACTTCTAGTTTTTGTAGGACTTTAAGCACCGTTTATGGCATTGATGTCCGATAAGAATATTTCATGTTGGTCGGAATATAAATTTGGCTTTTCTCTCCTGGATGTATCATGAGATTAACGTGTCGAGTTTAACGTGTTAAATTTGTTGTTTTTCTGCAGAATCGTTCAAATTTTTCCATTGCAAGCGAATCTGTGAAAGAAAAATGGAGTGTTTGATTGGAATAGCTTTCAACGATTTTGCGGTTCTCGCGTCTGAAATGAACGCTGCTCAGAGCATCCTCCTGATGAAGGCTGAAGAAGACAAAATGTTCAAGTTGGATGATCGACTCTTGATGGGAGTATGCGGAGAAGCCGGCGACTCGAAGCACTTCGCGGAATACATCTCCAAAAATTTGACGCTTTACCGCATGCGGAATGGATATTCCTTGGACGCCCAAAGGGCGGCTCATTTCACGCGGAAAAATCTAGCCGACTACTTGCGTCGGAGTCCTTACAATGTAAGAAGTCTTGTAACATCAAATCTAGACCATGAATGATGTATTGAAAAAGTGATGATGGAAATTTTCGGAACGATTTAGTCGCCTCTTATTCATCCAGTAATGTTGAATCATGAATGTTTGAATTAATCGGTATCGCTATGCAGTTTCCGGAAGAATGTGAAGTGGGTTCTTAGCGATCAATGTGCCAATAATCTAAAAAGCTATTCTAATGCTTAGTTGCTATAGTTATGCTTCACTGATTTTCTTGAAAAGGTTAATGTTTGACAGAAATAAGTTCTGTGGTATTTAAGGTTGAAATATTGTACTGCATTTTTGCATGTACATCTACCAAATAAATCATATTCTGGACGAATCCTTTTTTACAAAGGCGTGTGTCATTGAAGTTACATATATTTTTGTTTTCCGTTCAGGTCAACATGCTCATCGCTGGGTATGACGAGAAAACCGGTGGGGAGATTTATTTCCTGGATTATTTGGCAACACTTTCAAAGCTTCCTTTCGTGGCCCATGGTTACGGAGGTTTGTTCTCGTTGTCCGTGATGGACCGGTATTACAAACCGGATGCGACAAAAGAGGAAGCTGTCGAAATTATCAAGAAGTGCATCAAAGAAGTTCATCAGAGGTTGATCATCAATATGCCTAACTTTCAGTTGAGGTATTAAAACCTTTCAGAAATGGTTCGATTCGTTTTAAAAATTACCTGCTGATATCCTCTTGTTCATTTTCAGGTGCGTTGACAAAGACGGTGTTACGGATTTGGGTGTTATCAACGCAGCTGACCTGAAAGTGCCGAATATCGGCGAAGCTTCAAGTGCAAGCGCTAGTGTTAAAATTTCTGCCTGATAGCAGCTGATTGGGTTATGATCATTTCTTTCTTGCTATTATTTTTTTCTGCATCAGCCGAATAAAATGTCTTTGAGTCGAAAAATCATGTTCCACCGTATCTGAAATGTTCGTCGTACATGATTAACCCTATTTTTAATGCGGTCGTGTTTCTTCTAATTTTTTTTTCTTTTGCAGTTACTTAGTGGTGTGTTAAGATATCAATGGCGGACGCTGCTGCGTTGGAGGAGATAAGAAAAACGTTAGCTATAACATTTTATGCAACTTCTCGGCGTCTTCTTTTCTCTAATGAAAAATCTTTACGTTACAGGTTCTTGGACCTTTGCGAATCTTCTCCAGAGGGTCTGAGTAACAGTGTTCTTGATGCAAACATGAAGGGGATCGACCCGAAACTCCGTGTCACTGCTATCAACAAACTCCTCGGATCTGTGAGTCGAAAATTTTCAAGTGTAATTTTTTTTCAGCATTACTGTAAAGTTTAATTGGCGGTTTTCAGGGTCTTGTTGAAGTTCTGAAGAAAGGGAAAGAACTTTTTTACCGGAAGAAAGCCCCAGTGAGTGCGCAGGAAGCAGGAACACTTCGTAGCATTCAAGACAAGGAAGAGCGGTTAATATACAAGTTGATCGCGAATGCGGGAAACAAAGGAGTGTGGTTGCGAGATTTGCGAAATGCTTCGAATCTCGCTCTTACACAAGTGACAAAATTGCTTAAATCTCTCGAGGGAAAAAAGCTCGTCAAAGCCATCAAATCGGTTTCGGTACGTTCCCCTTTCGGTATTGCTGTAATTTAGGTGAGGAATCTATTGGTCACCTTTTCCTCTTTTTATTGCCTCTTTTTCTAGGCCGCGAAGAAAAAAGTGTACATGTTGTATGATCTGGAGCCTGACCAGTCATTGACTGGAGGTGCTTGGTACTCGGACCAGGAATTTGAGTCAGAATATGTGGACGTTTTGATGGATCAGGTTGCCAAATTTCTTGCAAGAAAAGCTCAGAACTCCAAAGAACGCAACTCTGCGAATGGGCCTCTGGCTGTTCTCAATGGATCCTACGTCACAGTTGCTCAAGTTCATAACTACATTGGTGACTTGGGCATTAGTAAAGTTGGTATTAATTTCTTAAAGAATGGAGTCTAAACATATTTTGTCTACGAAAAGTTGAGCCGTGTCTCGTGACATTTGCTCTTTTTAATCGAGGACGCTTGCTACACATGTACTTGTATCAAAAACCTAATTATTTACTGTATTTTCAATTTTCTTACTGCGTAAAGGTGCGTTTGACTCTTCAAGAAGTTTCTTCAATACTGGAAGCTCTGATTCTGGATCGAGTTGCAGAGCGCGAAATGGCCTTAATAGATGATTTGGATGAGATCCGAGAAGAAAACGGTGAGAAAGAAGCAGACGAGAAGGAAATTTCGGAGAGAAAATACCGTGCTGCCACAGAATTGCTACCTTCGCCGGGATTGGTTCGAACACCTTGCGGAATGTGTCCAGTGAGTTTATTTCGGTATCCATCAATTTTTCTATGTCGCCTTGTTGAGCAAATACAATGTTGATGGAAAAATATACGAGGTATAGATTCTAATGATTAATTAAATGCAGTATTTATTTTTTTTTTTACTCTCTGGAAGAATATCTCGTTTTCTTTCCGTTTTTAAGATGGTGAGGTTTTTGAATGATCTGACGCGTTGTGATTTTGATCTTTCTTTCTTTTTTAGGTTTTCGATAGGTGCTCGTATGTCGGATCTGTGACTCCCTTGAAGTGCCACTATTTCAAGGATTGGCTTAATGAATGAAACGAGCGATCCTGTTCCAGTGTGGAAGCGATGTGCAATTGTCGTACCAACGCCCTTAGTTTCTTTTAACGCATCAATCAATGTTGAATATCCCCAGGGATGCATTGTGGTTGTTGTTGAAGTGAAACGGAACATTCAAGACAAAACGTTTGTCCAAATGTAACGCGTCTGTGATTCCTAGTGCAATATGATTCCCGAAAGAACGGCTACTCTTCATGCCTCGGTCATTGCTACTGTCTTCTTTGTTGGTGAGTAGTTATTTTTACTCATGGTAGGGCAATTTGAACCTTGAGGCTGAAAAGAAATGAATACAGAGGAAGCTCACGTATTCCTTTTTTTTTTTATAATTCCAGTGCTGTGTCAGCTTGTTCATGGAATTCCTCCGCCGATCATGAACGTAACAACAGAGATGTACTATGAAATCAATGACGGCGAAAATTTTTACGTTTCGTGCACCGGAATACAACCAATCCAGTGGACTCACACTATGGGTCCTTCGCAATCGGTTAATAGATCAATAAATTCGGGTTCGGTTGAAATGATCGTTCTGATGTTTTGAATCCGACAGGTGACAGATGGAAGAACGACGAAGATCAGGAATGATTACGTGTCAGTTTTTGAGCTGGAAAACGCCAAATACTGGCAAACTGGCAAAATTCAATGCGGTTATTTAAATGCTACCAACGTCGCATGGATTTACTTGTATGTCAAGCGTGAGTTGAAATGCGTTCAATCTAAATTTGAGTAAATGTTACTTGCCTTTACGGCAACTTGGTCCCGCAGATCCCCGGTATTTAATAGCCAATTGGACTGAAGATGCCATTGCAAAGTTGGTTGTCGATGATAGCACCGACAGCCTAATTATTCCGTGTCGACCCACTGCACACGACGTTCACGTTGTTTTGCAAAAAGACGGCCAGAATGTAAGTTCTGCAGTCATCTTGTTTCCAGCTTCTTTTTTTTTCAGTCTACTGCGTAGTACGTGTGCACATTTTTCAGAATCAGTTTTTTCAGAAAGTTGGAGCATGAATATTTCAAAAAGCGGATTGAGGAATATTCAGAGCTTGACTCGATGTGTTTTGTATATAATTCTGTCACTGTTATTCGGTTATTTCTGCACTTGGGAGTGTTTGAACAATTCGTTGATAATTGAACTGCACAAAGCTTCGGCATTGCACAGTGGCCACTGGTGGTGTACATTTTGGGGTTTGTTCTAACTTGAATTTTCAATCGATCGATGTCTTATAGTTCGGCTGACGGGGAGTGCTTTTCTATGGTTCAGTCCTATTAGCGGGTCTTGAAGGGGGTTTTTCGGTTGTTCTTTTTTTTTCTTTCAAACGTGAAATCTCGTTGAAAGGACGGCATTTTAACCTGCGTTAAATCATGATCGAAAAGAAAGGTGAACTCGTGGAATTTTGTCGGTGCTTCGGATCCCTTTAACCCACTTGGTTTTTGACACGGAAGGTGACGGTGATCGAGCGGGTCTTGCACTTGGGTCTCCATGTGAAGAGCGTCTTGCTTGTGAACGGGATGTATCGCTGTTGTCCGACGTCTGTTGATTTCGGGTTCATCGGGAAGGATTGCCTTGATATACGTATCCTACGTACGTTGCTTTCTGTTTTGTTTTAACTATAACCTGTCTTCACTGTCTAGCGACGCTTATTTCTGTAACACAGCTTTCTGAGGATGGCTTTTCGCTGCTTTACTGCTTGGTTCTTGCTTACAGCTTTAAAAATGGTTCGCTTATGTGGGCACACGTTTTTTAATGCCGCAGTTTCGAAGAATACCTGACGTAATTGACTGCGATTTATTTTATTGTTATGCGGTGTGACCAGAAAACAAGTTCACCTAATTTTCAACTTGCTACAGTCGAATCTCTTGAAGTCGAAGTTCAAGTGACCAGAAAACAAATCTGAGTTAAGGAGGTTTTGAGTAAGGGAAACTGGTAATTTTGCTGGAAATAAATATAAAGAATCACAGGAAACTAAAATTTGTGTTTTTTTTTTTTTTTTTTTTTTGCTTTGAACTGCAGAATAAATGATTTGACTGTATGCTGAAGTTGAATCTAAGTGGTTCATTTGCCCCATTAGTCTATCACTTCCTTTCGAAACACATTAAGTTACATGTTGTTGTTTTTCTCTTTTCTGTGTCAATGAAATAGCCAAAATGCCGCCAGGAAATACGAGTTATGCGGGTTTTAGGGACTTGAAAAAAATAATTTGACCTGGGAGGAATTTGACTTGGAGATGTTGAAGTTCAAGTGTATATCCTACTCTGCTTGTAGATACCAACTCGAAAATAAATAAGAAGCCCAATTAAATTTCCGATGATGACTTAGTTTTAGACAGCTGATGTAATAATCTTCAATATACCATTCATTTTCCAAGGAGGTGGCTCGAGCCATTCAAAAGTAATTACACTTCTGTATTGAGGAAAGATCTATATTTTTTCCTTTTTTAATGTTCTACCAAAATAGATCAATATTTTGTATCGTTTATTGTTTCACGAATTCATTAATTTAAATTGTGGAATGCGAATGCCTTTAATTGCTTATCGCCTTGCCCTCGGTATTGAAATGATCCAGATTCCTGGAAGATTCCACCCATATTCTGGTTTCAACATTTCAATGCCTGGGCATCTCGCGAACCATCTGCATTTTCAATGCAATGCCATGCTGGACCGAAGACCCTGGACGAATGACTCGACTCAGCTGGTGGTCGAACTCAAACGTGAGTCTAATGAGCATCTCGTTCCTAGAATTTTTTGATGTTAGCTTTTAATACTGCACTACAATGTCGTGTGCGGATTCAGTTTTATCTCGTCATTGAAGTCGGAATTGATTGTGTTCGAGAGTAATTATAGTATGCTTATACGTTGGTTTGAGGATTCTCTTATTAAAAAAAAAAAAAAGTTGTTCCTTTATTTGTGTTCATTTTCTTGAAGAGACGCATGTGCGTTGGAATTTACGAACCGAGTCTAAATTTTAGTGTTCGGTTTCGCGTTGGCCATTTTCTTCGGCAATCCGAGCAATCATTCCTAATGTATGTTGGAATTTTAGATTGGAGTAACGTTTGTATCCAAATTTGCATGATATTTTGCTTACGCTCCATCTTCAACTTTTTCTGGAGCCATATCTTCATGAATGGCTTCGACGCTTTATTTCTTCTACCTCCAGTTTAGTATCATTTTTTACAGTTGAATTAAATACACGTAAACTTCGAGACATCGCAGAGGGCTGGAGATACTTTTCCGAGGTCAGATTTATTTTGTGCGAGAAAATAAGTTTTTTCAGAGCCGTGAGATCCGGAGTTTCGTGGCTAACGTCTTCCGGGTTTTCGGAAAATATGATCGTAGGCAATCAACCATTATCGAACCCGGACATTTCACGAGCTCCTGGGCAAAGTATTTGGTTCATCGTGGATCTGCGAATGCGTCTTCAATGCATAGTGAGTGCAGAAAAGTATGTTCACGTTGAATTCAACTGGGCTCTACCACGGTTTTCTACTGCCAAAAATGTAAGTCGAAGTTGTTATGTCTTGAGTTTTTGGCTGGTTAAAAATATCCGGTTTCATGACTTTGCAGGATAACAGATTTTCAACATCTGAAACGTACGATAGCGATAAAAAGGAATACGTTTCGGTTCTCACAATCAGCAAAACGAAGTTGACAGACGCAGGGATTTACACGTGCGACGTCGGAGGCGGGTCAAGTCCTGCGAATTATTCAGTTACTGTCCATGGTGAGGAATATACCTAATTTTTTATCAAATTTTGAGCATCTACTAAAAATTCTTGATTTTCAGTAAGTTAATGCTTGGAGCAAGAATTTTTTGCCTATTTGGGAAAGGTTTCTTGAGTAATGCTCTTTCTTTCTATAGATGGTAGTCCAGTGATTCAAAAGGTGAAAGCTGAGCCATGGAACATCACGGTACCCGTTGGAAAAGGTGTCGCCCAGTGGGTAGTTGACGTTTTGGCGTACCCACCACCGACACTGTCGCTTATTCGAACGCGGCGCCCCGATTTATTCCGTAAAACTGACTACGAAATCGTGAACAACGCAGAAACTGAAGGAACCGTTCTTGTTCAACTTGTCGGCGTTCAACTCGAGGATTTTGGCAACTATACCTTGAAAGTTGTCACCGGTAAGTTGCTGTCAAGTAGTGAAAGTGATTTCATTGTTGAAAATGGAAGTTTTTTCTTCCTTAGCTTGCAAGTATTTGAATTTTTAAGTCTTTTTGAAAATGTGACACTACCCTCTTTTGTTTCTTCTGTTGAAAATTGTTGTTCAATTCTTCAGTACGCATTCCTTTTTTATTATTTTGTGTTTGGCAAGCCTTTTTGGGGGGGGGGGGACGATCAAGTTTCACCCATGCATATGCGGCATTTTTCGTTCCAATTTTTGCGGTTCCGCAGTTTTCCTGCCTCAGTGCCTTTCCAAATTGAGTTTCCCCCTTCAGTCATACGCTACGTAATATAATACCGTAATGATATCCTAAGCTATCTAGTACAATACCTTAATAGTGTTCCTACACTTTTTCGCATAATTTCCAGCCACTATGTCGAGATCAATTACGTTGCGAGTGGAAGTGACAGACCAACCGAAGGTAGAAACCATTCAGTTCGCGGATTCCGGGATGGTCCCGGGTAGTTTCGTTATGGTCGACACCAAAGTCAGCATCGAATGCATTGCTAGTGGATATCCCGTACCGGAGATTGACTGGATTTTTAGGCCCTGTGAAACTCCCGACGAGTGTGAAGGAAGTCCTGTGCACGTGAATGTAAGACTACCCATTCCTCTATTTTCTGATCATTCGAGGAGGATTTATGCTTCTCTTTTTATTCCTCAGGAACATAGAACGAGGAACAAAGAAGCCATCGAAATTTCCCGTGACGAGGAGTACAAAATAGTGTCGACTCTCAAATTGTATGCTTCGGAATCTGGTTCCTATCACTGCGGAGCAGGATTTAGCAATTTCTACGATGAAAAGAAGTTTTTCTTGAGAGTGACTGACATTGGTGGTGAAGACGGATTTGGAGTTGTGAAGCGGGTAAACGACGAAAGTACTTGGGAACCTTTGAGCGATCGTTTTGATGCATACGAGGGAGACAAAATTGTAATTAAATGTGGTGCTTCGAAGTTCAACTATACTAATGCGGTCGCTTGGGATTATCGAACAAGTTCCAAAGGAGGTTCGTTTCTTTCTTTTTTTTCAAGAGTTCAAGTATTTAATCGACGTGTTTCTTTGTTTTCAATCCAGAATTCAAACCTGCGTTGCCGTTGAATTGGAATACTTCCCCGGCGAGCTCGGATTTGTCTTGGGGACTGCGCATTAGTTTGTCGAAAGCGGGAAGAGCGGAAAATGGGGAATACAGGTGCTCTGCTACCAACACTGTCAAAGGCGAAAGAAATTGGGTTGCATTCACAATGAACATCGTCCGTAAGTTTTGAATGATTTTTGTATAAACGAGCAAATCAAGATACAGTATTTATAATTAATGCAGCCATGGAGGAGCCAGCGTTTGATGGAACGACGAACATGTTCAAAGCGAGCAAAGCCGGGAAACCGATGGCCATCAAGAATGGAGATGTCCTTATTTTGAATTGCTCCGTTTCTGGCGTTCCTACTCCGAATATTGAATGGCTGAAGGTGTGTTTTTAATCTGAATCCCGTTAATCCCAAGAGAATTGATTTTCTTTAGAAATATCTTCTGACAAAACGCGTCGTCACATCGAATTTTATTCAAATTCGGGTTATTTGTGAATTACGGCTTAATTTTTAGATCATCTTATTTAAGTACTATGCTGTTATGTGTAATTGTTTTGCTTGAACTTTTCACTTTCAGGACTCCATGAGATTCAACGAAACAAAGGATCACAGAATTTTTGTGAACGGATCGCTGTTAACTTTTTCACCTGCAATTGCGGAGAAGGATAATGGACGTTACAGTTGTCGAGCGAGGAATAAAGCGGGGGAGACGGAGATCTCTGTCGATCTAGAAGTTGTCGCCACTTCTGCTTCATTTGGAGGAATGGGGCTTCCAGGTTTTTTTGTTCTGGTGACAGTTGTGGGTTTGCTGGTTTTCACTGTGATTGGAGCCTGCATCTATGCCAGGAAGCTCAGGAAAGATGTAAGTTGACATATCCGAACAATCGATTTTACAGTCATGTGTTTTCAATGAGGTTAAGAAATGTTTCCGTCGGATTCCGTGCTAGGAAATATCAGTCGGATAATTTTCACTTTGATCAAAAACGATGGTAGATGATTTTAACAGATCTTAAGACAATTTTGAAGCAGGGGGGTTTTTAAGATTGATTGAAAAGCGAGAGAAGGAAACGCGTTAGAGAAAAAATAACGAAGTTGGTAGTGCCGTTATACAAAGACTACTTTGAGTTCACATATTTTTCTTTTTCGTGTAGAAAGAGAAGTTATCTCGACTTTTGACGGAGAAGGAAGCAAAGCAGTTTAGAGAAGGTAACAGGGAGCAATTGAACCCAGATTTACCAGTCAGTGAACAAATCGAGTTTCTCCCATATTTTGGCACGCGCTGGGAAATTCCCAGAAAACGGCTCGAACTTGGTAAGTCTGTTTGTTCTAAGTTATTTCGTTTCGCGACCAAAATTTGTGTGTCTTTCAGGTCAACAAATTGGCCGAGGTGCATTCGGCTGTGTGTTGCGTGGAAAGTGTGGCGGGCTTTTTGAGCAGTCCGATGTGCACGAAGTTGCGGTAAAAACATTGATGCCGAATGCGGAAAAGCATCATTTTCAAGCTCTACTAAAGGAGATCAAGATTCTTTCTCATATGGGAACGAACCTGAACATCGTTAATCTTCTCGGGGCGTATACTCAAAATATGACGCAAGGTTATTGCCTCAGAATTTGTAAATTATTTTCCGTGATTTAAAATAAGTGCTGTATACTCTTTTGTAGGCGAATTGCTCATGATAATCGAGTATTGCCCCCTTGGAAGCCTGGACAAGTACCTTAGAAAACATAAGGTCAATTTCAAGGATCAGTTCAGCTCGGTTTCTGGCCTTCCAGTGCCGAGCATTAGAAATAGATCGTTCAATTCTCAAAGCACTGCATCAGTTGTGTAAGTTTTTCAACAATTTCATAAAAGCACACGTACGTTTGAGCTGATCCTTCTGTTTCAGGGATCCTATGGCTTATGTAACTATGGGAACAGAACAGTCGCTTCGAGAGAACAGCGTGGAATTTAATCGCAATCGACAGCGAATGTCCTCTGCGTCAACCGAGAGCTGCACTGTACGAACAGCTGTTACTGGGGTGACCGACCTTGGTAAAAGATTTTTTTTTCAAGAAATTTTGAGTTGACATTGTTTTTTTCTATTTGGCATGTTTGATCCATTGTGTGAATCCTTTAGATACCGATGGTAACGGCAGAGGAGGAGCGCTTTGGGCGGAAGTGTACGAAGCCGAACGAAATCTGGACAACGATCGAACTCTCAGCACTGCTGATTTGCTGAGTTGGGCGTATCAAATTGCCAGTGGCATGAGTTATTTAGAAAAGAGAAAGGTTAGTCTCGTGATCAACTGTTGTTTAGTTTTTTTGCCGCTGTGTATTTGACTTTTTTTCAGGTGGTACACCGAGACTTGGCTGCGAGGAACGTTTTGCTGACTAGCAATTACATCGTCAAGATTTGTGATTTCGGTTTGGCACGGGATGTTTATCAAGGCATTTATCGGAAGACTACGGATGTTAGTACTGTACTGACCGAGGACTTATTTGATTGTTTGTTTTTGAAGCTTTCTTTGACTGCTTAGATTGTTTTATTTGTTCTCAATTCAAACGGTTTCATTTTAAATCATAGGATCCGATTCCGTTCAAGTGGATGCCGTTGGAAAGTCTTTTGGGGGACCATGTTTCGTCGTCAGAATCAGATGTATGGTCTTTTGGAGTCACCCTTTGGGAATTATTTACTTTGGGACGAACGCCTTATCCTAACATGAATTCGGAAGCCTTGATAAGATTTTTAAGAGAAGGCCGAAGATTGGAAAGGCCATTATATTCTGATGACCGAATGTAGGTTCACTAGATCTCTTTTGATCAAAGTTTTGAAGTATAATTTTATTTGAATTTTTCAGCTATAATTTGATGCATAGTTGTTGGGAAGCTGCACCCGATCAAAGACCTTCCTTCGCTGCGCTAACATCCGATTTCGGCGCTCTTGTTGACCCCCAGACGAAGCTCGTGAGTAAATTAATTGCCTTTAATTTTTCGTTTGATTTTGTCATCGTCGTTTCTGTTCGCTACAGCGTTTGAGTGCGATGAATGAGAAATTTGAACGTCATAATGGGGAGTTGTTTGCGGAATACGGCGATTTTCTGGCCAATTTTGGCATGGATGGTGGATCATCTGGAAGCAAAAGCAGATCGCGATCTGTGACGAGCAGAGGTACGAGATATCTTCCCGAAGATGCTAATGGATATTTAATTCCGAATCCCAGTCTTCGAACTCCGTCTGCGTACGTCGTTATGGGTGGTGGAGACTCCGTGAGATTCTCTCGTGATGGAGAACAGTGAGTTTTTTTTTTTTATATATATAAATTTATGACATTCTGCATGTTTGAATCAGCATATGTTGGTGTTTATCCTTGCCGATAATGTGATTGATATTCATTTGTTTTTGAGAACAAGTTTATTAAAAGCTTCCAAGCCCTTGACGATCTGAATATTTTTACTGTGCAGTGATAGATTTTTAATCAATTTGATTTATAATTCCATGCGTGAAGTACAGTACAATGATTAAGTTGTAAGGGATGTCGCTTGTTTCTCAATCTTATTTTAATTCGGTCATCCAAATTTAACCGGGTGCACGTCTTCTGTATTGTGTACAGGGTAATTGGGTTTCTTGAATATTTTTTTATGAATGCGGACAGGTTTCTTAATTTTTTCTGCTTTAAAGAAAATCAGTTTTACGGTTTCCTGACCAACTATTTCGATGAAATTCTATGTACATTTATCATGATTTTTCCTTTTCTGGCCGCTTCACTGTGTTCTTTTTTTTTAAATAAAAAATGGAGTCATAAAATGCCGAGTTTTCCAAAGCAAAATTATGCAGTATTTTGAACTGTATCTATCGATGAACTGGCTTGTTTTTTACTTATATTTTGCAGACCTCCCGCATTCTATGAAAACATGAACGTGAGAAGTGCGGAACCGCCGAGAGTGGAAGCGACGGTTGCGAATACGAATCAGACACCTGTGAAACCACTAACCGGTCAAAGCTATGCGAACCAACTGGATTTTTCCCGTTTCTTGTCAGTGCCCTCTAGTGAAGACCCCGGTGAGCGAGACGCTGGGGACGGGTTGCATGAAGTTGACCCGCTTTTGGTGAAGTATAACCCTGGATACGTCACGTCAGATGTGCCTTCGACTGACCTCTGAGTTCATTTCACTGATGGAAGTCTATTTTTTATTTTGTCGTGGTTGTACCGTCTTACTTCGAATGTGAGGGGAAATTTTATTTTTTATTTTGTGCCTTTGGGCTGAAATTTGGTCATTTTTTCACGCAGTTTTTGCGATTCTTCTCCGTATCTTCTTATCTTTGGGAAAGAAGTACTCTGTCAGCTGATTCGTAATTTGAACGAAGTGGAACTTACGAATTTTGCATTTTTCTGCCATTGAGGATCACTAAATTTGTCTTGCGTAGATCTCGGATTGTTGAACGTTGTTGAATGATTTGAAGAACATGGGACTGGTTTTGAATTGCTTGCTTTTGTTACATGACCGAATTTGAACCGAAAGTGCGCAATGGTTGAACGTGTATTTCGTTGGTTGTTCGCTTAGCAAAGATACTCAAGTGTTTGTTAACCACGTATTTCTGTTTGTCAAACAGAAGCTAACATGATTTTCCGAGCTGAGATGAACGCTATTCTATAGAGGGCAATGACGTTGTAAAATTTGGATATTGGACTCAGTTTTTATGCGGAAGGAAATGACAGCGCCATGCCAGTTATTTTTCAACTCCTCACGTTGGAGGCATTTCAGTTTTATTGAAGGTTATTTATTTACGATGTTCGGTTGTGACTGAGATTTTTGAGCGTGCTTAAGTTTTGAGAATGAGTGTCAAATTAATGCAGGAAGAGGTTGAGACGAACGGAGTTTCGTGTGGGATTGTTAGTTGTTGAATGTTTTTGTTTCGTTTTATTTTCATTTAATTGTGTGAGAGATGTCGGAAGCATCATAAATCGCTTTTATCTTGTTCGTGCTTGTGTCCTTCTTGTGAAATTGCTCGTTTTTTCGTTGTTGAGATGTGGTACGGAGCAATGTCAGCTGAACATGTCCTGTGATGTATTCCACAGTAACCGTGGATTTCTCGTGTGAAAACTGAACTCCTCGGTTTTGTTCTTTGGAAAGAAAATGCTTTCTTCGTCGATTCTTGTCATTGGCATCAATATTTAGCGGCATATCCCAATTTTATTAATGGTTGCCGAGAAGAGTAAGATGGTATGTAAATAGAGCGAGGATTTACGCTTATGTCGGGAATGGTTTAAGTATCTGAAGCCTTCGCTATATTCTTGTATCGGATTTCATTTGAATTTTGACGAGAGCCCAACTGCTTGCTATGGAGATTTTTTGAAGCTCGTTCTTCTCTGAACCAAATCACGAAGAAGTTGCGAGAGTATGGATTTCATTTCATTATGCGATGTTAACCTGAAGGATTGACTACTCTCATGATTAATTTTTGGCATAAGTACTGCGACTGGAGCACATTTTTTCCTGATATTCTCCTGCTATGGATAATAGACTGCTGACAGAAACATGATTATCTGTAGAAAAATCAAAGTTGCTGTGGAAAATGTCGCTGTGAGCATCATTTTCTAAATTATATTAACATGTTTTGGATTAAACTAATTAAATTATTGAAATAAGTTTACATTCTACAGTGAATACTTTTTGAGTTGTTACAGTACTGGTGTTCAAAATGCCTGTACAGTATTTTATGCTTTTTTCTGATCCCTTCAATTTCATTGTTGAAAGTCCACCTGTATTCATTATAAATTATTGTCACACATGAAAATCCCCAAGCTATAGGCTTCAGCCGATGTACAACTAAATATAAAGGCTCCTTATTTGAATTTTGGAAAGCTTGATATTCGACGGAAGTAATTTACTTTACTATAATTTTCTATGAGCAATCTAGAACTGAAAAACCTTCAGGTATTGTATGCTGTAAGTATATAATGGAGAGGAGCTATTGTCTACCAAATGTATCCCATCATTAGGATGAGCAAATTTCAGCACTAATGATGATATTAAAATACAGTATTTGATTGAGGTTAAGCTGTATTTGAAAATACAATATTCGCAAAAGGGTTTTTCCTTCAATAACATAAAAGGATGTCTAATGTACAGTACAGTACTGTAGTTCGTTTTTCACAGCAGCAGTAAACATACTTCTCCTTGTGTAAAAGTGACGTAATTTCTTTTAAGTATACAGCAGTAGATGCTTTTCTTGATTTTTTAATTATAGAGACTGCGTAACGTCAGTTAAAATTGAATTTTGCTCTTCAAGGCGTATATACAGTACTGTACTACAAAACCTGCAAAAAGTTATCACGAACAGATTTGTCCGTGATTGTGACGAAAATATGCAAAATTCAGTGAAAGCGTCGGTTAATTTCCATACACGCGCGTGCACGCCAAAAGCGCGCGGAACGTAAAATATTTTCATGAACAGGAAGCATCCAAGGAATGCCTCTTGAAGAATTTTGCAGCCTTCGTCGAGAATCATTGAAAGAGCCGCCTCAATGCCAAATTGCTTTCGTTTCAGGAGCCGGATGAGCCCCTGCTGGAATCCTATTCAACGTCCCACTCATCGTTCCCTGTGAGGAAACGTACTTGTGCCAACTGCTGCTCCTTCCCATCGTCCATACATAAGCGCAAGAATTTCCCCGAAAATCCTCTGAAAAGAAAAACTCAAGTTTTCAGACGAATAACACTTGAATGACCTTCCGGTGGAAGAAAATCCTTCTGAAGAAATACTCCTTACATCATTATCCCGGAGAATAATAGATCACTTACGTGATTATATAACAATGTTTATGCTGCTATTTATGGAAGCTTATTGTTGCATTAGCATTTTACCCATCTTACTGTACCAGGAAAAACGGTAATTGCCAAAATTGGTAGCTAATCGCTTTTGCGAACAAACGCTTCACTGTACGGAGCTGCTTCTTTATGCAGACTTTTTTATTCTTTCGAATCACCAGAGATTACAGATTTACTGTTATTCAAAAAGACTTACTGCGTGTGCTTAGCAAATACTGTATTCCTTTGCTTCGAAAGCTGCGTTCAAAGAGAGGAAAAATAAAATAGAGTACAGTATTGTGATACTAATAATGAACAAAAATCTTTATTTGTGCATCACAGTTCCTAGCGCTAGTCCACGACGAAATATTTTGAAATTCCTGAACTACATTATATCTGAATTTATTTTTATGCATTTACGCCTTGATCATTGTTGAATTTTTAGCATCATCAGCAGTTTTTTTTTATATGTAAAATAAGCCATTATCGAAATTTATTTTTGAAGTGTTTCTTCTATGTTACGTAAGGATGGTGGCACTGTATATATTGTATAGTCATGAAACAAAAGAGATGTCAGCTGTGTGGTATCAATTTTTCATCTCCATCATCAGCACAATCATTATATACAGAATAGGGATTTACAGATTGAGAGTTAATCAAAGTGCTGCAAGAATATTTGGGATACCTTTTTGATATAAATTCCTTTCAAAAAGGCAATCAGGCAAATAAGCCGAGCATGGAGATATTTTCTGACCTGACTTGAAATTTTTTGCATTATTGAGGGAAATTAATTCTTTGATTTTTTTACGACGGAAGAATTGTGCGATGAAAATGCAAGAGCTATCACACTTGAGAATCTTTTAATGAAAAACTTCATTACACTCATATGCAACCTATTTTTCTAAGTAACGAAGCAG